TCACTGTGAAGAAATATTAAAAAAGATTTGATAAAGATCTCTGTTTCAACTGCAGAGCTAATAAACACTATATTAATAATTATAAGAAGCTGAAGAAGAGAAGAAACTGAGAAGATATCTTTTCAAAGTTAACTTCTCTTCTAACAAACATATCTGCAGAAGATAAAGAAGAGAAAGAAATGAAGAATTGATAATTCTTATATCTCTGAGTTTATATTATAATTACAATGTATACTCTGAATAAAGAGATATTAGTGAGATATCTACTTAACTTCAGAGTGAATATTAACTTCATATTTTATTTCTTTTCTTTAATAAAGAGTTGAAGAAAGATAGATCTGTCAGATTATATAAAATTTACTAATGAAATAAAATATCATTATTTTAACATAATTTAAGTGAAGTGTGTGATCACAGACTTAGAAGAAATCTTTAAAAAGAGCAGTCTACTTCTTCACACAGTTAATATCATAGATAAGAATATTATTCTAAATCTTCTGTAATTAAGAGAAAATAATTTTCTCATTAACTGAGTCACTCAGATATAACAGTACTGTCTTACTAATAAAGAGATAGTAGTAGAGAAATCTGAAGAGTTTCATCAGAAGAATCTTGAGAAAAAAATAGAGTTAATATACTATATAGTAGATAATTGAGACTTGAGAATAAATAATAAAGTTATCACTCTTACTGCAAGATTAGCAGCAGTATCTGTTATTAAAGATAGATATATATAATATCTCTTTACAGATTATAAGAATATCTTTTTGAAAAGAGAAGCAGTGAAGTTTTCTGATATCAAGATATAATATAAGATTTATCTTAAAAACAGTGTAATAATACTGTACAGATCTCTTTATAACTTATCTGTAAAGAAATTGAATATTCTGTATAAATATCTTAAAGAAGCACAATCAAAGAACTGAATATATTTATCAAAGAGTCTGACAGAGATGTCTATACTCTTTATACTCAAGAAGAATAATAGACTACATCTATATATAGACTACAGAGATCTTAATAATATAATAGTTAAGAATTACTATTTATTACTATTAATTAATAAGATGATTGATTGATTATCTGAAGCAAAGATATTCTCAAAGATTAATATATAGAATATCTATCATAGAATCAGAGTTAATAAAGACAATGTTTGAAAAATGACTTTTCATATCAAGTATAGTAATTTTGAATATCTTATTTTATCTTTTAATCTTTATAATACTTCAGCTATCTTTCAGATCTATAGAAATAAGACACTGCAGAGTCTTATTAACATCTTCTATATAGTATATCTGAATAACATTCTAATCTTCTTGAAATCAGAGAAAGAACATGATACTTATATTCAAGAAGTATTAAGTCACTTAAAACAGTATTAACTCTATACAAACACTGAAAAATACTCATTCTACATGCAGGAGATTGATTTCTTAAATTATATTATTGAAATAAATAATATTTCAATGAACAGAAGCTGAGTCTCTATTATTAAGAACTAACTAATACTGCAGACATATTATGAGATGTAGATATTTCTAGAATTTGTAAATTTCTATAGATAATTCATCTATATATATTCACAGATTACTGTCTCTCTTACAGATCTGTTAAAGAGATGTGTGAAAGATAGAAAAATGAGATTATTTATTCTCACTTAAGATACTATGCAGGCATTTGTGAAATTGAAATAAGCTTTCATAGATGTTATAATACTAAATCACTTTAATCTCAACTTACTCAGTCAGTGTGAGACTAATATATTCAGAAATGAGATCTGTGAAATCTTTTCACAGTTAACACTGAAGATCTTTTAATATTGAAAGAATTAGAAGATAATTATCTCTGAGAAAATAGATAATGAATTATCTGTGAGAGAAGACTTTTTCATAGAGTCTATAAAACACTATGAATAAAGATCAGTGATCTTCTTCTTCAAGAAGTTATCACTTATACAGAGAAGATATAATACTTATGATCAGAAGATGTTAGTAATTATTAAATTCTTTAAAATCTGATAATATTATCTTCAAAATAGTAAGTACTCAGTGCAAGTTCTCACTGATTATATAAATCTATATTACTTCTTGATAACAAAGAGCTTGATAGAATGTCAAGCCAGATAAGTGAAGCTGCTTTCAGAGTATAATTTCTATATTTAATACTGTTCAGATCAGCTTAATCTCACTAATATACTATCTAGATAACTTAATTATAATATTATTAATATGAAGAAGAATTCTATAAAAGAATCTCTATCATTACTGCAGAAGAAGCTGACTGCAGAGAGTTAAAATTCTCTGAAGCTCAGAAACAGCACTGATAAGACAGCTGTATAACTTAGTATAAAAGATGAAAGAAAACTCAGATCTTTACAGAGAACTAACACTGAAGATTATAAGCTTCTTATATTATATCTTACTATTATTAAATTAATAAAGAATGAAATAGTCTACAATCTTTCAATCTAACTACTTTTGAAATTCATTGATAAATTATAGAAGAAGAATGTCTCTACTGCAGCTTAAATTCAGAAGTTAAAGAAGAAAGAATTCAGTTTAAACTTAAAAGAGATAGACTCTGAGTAGAGCAGTACTGCTAAGAAATCAAGTCACTGATAACTAGAAGAATATGAACTTCTACTACTGAATAATTCAGTCTTCATCTCTTATAGTAGAGCAGTGTGTCAGAAGTTATTGAGAATTTATTATAATAATTCTCATACAGAGCACTTCAAATTAGAGAAGACTGAGAAGCTTCTAAAATATAAATATATTTAAGACAAGCTCTGAATAGATGTCAAAGAGTATATTAAGACTTATAATATCTATTAAAGAATAAAGATTCTGCAGTATAAGTAATACAGTGAGTTAGTATCACTGCCTGATTTAAAGAGTTTATAATAGAATCTATTAATGAATTTCATAGTTGATCTGCTGAAGTTGATAAGAGTTAAAGAATATAACTCAATTTTAATTATTATTAATTACTTCACAAAGATAATCAAATATATTTCTACTTATAAAAAGATTAAAGCCTCTGAATTAACTGACCTGTTTTTAGATATTATTATTCATGATCACAGTACTTTGAAATTATTAATAATAGATCAAGAATCTCTCTTTATCAGTAAATACTGATAGACTGACCGTGTGACCGTGTCTGGGACCAGGACCAAACTTTACAGTTGTCATGTTGCCTAAAAGCATTACTTCTGATCATGGTTTGTGTTCATCACATTGATTTCAAATCCTGTTATTTCAAATATTAAAGATCTCAGATTCACTTTTCAAATAAAAATCTAGTCTCAGATAAAGAATATGTTTGAATTCTTAGTCACATTTTCATTCTGATCTCATTATTGAAAATGGCATTAAATGAGACCATGAAATCATTTCTCACTTACATAATATCATAACATAGTGCTCATTTGTTGAAAATTCAATAGAGAGTATTATCAAATATTATTACTTTTCTGAATACAGATCATAATCAATATCATTTTAATTAAAAAAAAAAATGTACAATACAAAAAATAATAAAAAAACAAACAACAAAATAATAAGAAAAAATCACAATAAAAAAAAAAAAAAAAAAAAAAAAAAAGAGAAAGAAAAAAAGAAGAGAAAGAAAAAAAGAGACAGAAAGAGAAAGAAAAATAAAAAAAAAAAAAAGAAAAGAAAAAGAAAAAAATAAAAAATAAAAATAAAAAAAAATCAAGATCACAGAGCTGTAGTACTCTTAAAATACTCACTTCTCAGAGTCTTCACAATATTCATCATTAATCATATATCTCTTATAGTGAGAATAACACAGCTGTGATGAGTCATTATCTTAACATTATCTAACAAATAATCAGTATATATCTATATAAATGTGAATAATTAGAAAATATACACTTAAAAAGTGTGGTCAGAGTGGACTCTGCTGTCACTTGAATGACATCAAGAACAGAACACTGAAATCAATGATTTCTCTCATCAATTTCACAGACAAGGCGTGTGAAGATAATCTTGAGAAATATAAGATTCTCAGACTTCTGGTAGAAATGAATCTCATGAAGAGACTCTATTTTCATCATATCAGAGACTGAGTATTATTAAAAAGCATTACTTCAATGCACATGCACTTACTGCAGCAATTCATTCTCTGTGCATATGGCTGAGAGTTGCAGCTTTCTCATGCTGCACAGCTCTCTCTGAGATGCTGTCACTGGTTTGCAATTCACACAGTCTCTCAGTTCAGCACATGCTGTGTATATGCAGCCCTGTGTGCTGGGGCTGTGTTGGTCATTATGACCTGGCGTGATACTCGCTTTTCGCGGGCCATGTTTCATTTGATTGAGAGAGAGGAGGGGGACATGACTGCTGTTTTATTTAAGAGAGAGTGAATAATTGAATCTGTAGAAGATAATTTGATTTCTTCTGCATTTGAAATTTGATTAGTCTATACTCTTCAATTTGAGGGTTTCTGAGAGTGTTTTAATAGTTTTCATACCAGCTTGGAATTAGTGATTGATTGAAGAAGAGAAAAGAGAGAAGAAAGAAATGAGAATAACTTATCTTTATAATATAAAAACAGAGAATTGCTGCAATCATTTATTCTAGTAACAAAGATCTGTTTTCTGCATGTATCTCTGATACAGATTATATGATAACTGTATACAAAGAATATCAACAGTGCATGCATTGAATGAAGATGATGTTACTATGCAACACTGTAGCTGTTTCTATACATCACTGAAAGCTGTTAATATTTTCTTTGAGTCTCTTTATATTTGATAAGTCAGTAATATATTTCAATACACTTCTTCTTTCATTATCATCATCATCATCATCATCATCATCACTATTATTATTATCATTATTATTACTATTATCATTATTATTACTATCATCATTATCACTATTATCATCATCATTATTATCATCATTATCATATCATTTCTGGCTGCCTCTTCTGCCTTCATCTCTCTTCAACACTCACTGAAATCAATCATGTCATCTCTCTTCAAATATTCTGCGGTTCTGCGGACCATCAAGGCACGTGAGCACTATCACAGATTGAAGAGAGAGAAGAAGAAGGTATTTAAGTAAGAGAAGACAGATTGTAAGACATGTTATAATACCTTGAAGAGGCTCTGTAAGAAAGCAGAATAATAACAATTTTAAGTAACACTTCTGATAGATTTAGACTGAACTAAGTATAGAAATAATGCAGATGACACTGTCTGTGAGAGATTGAAGAAGAAGATAGTGAAGAGTCTCATGCAGTAGCAGTGAGATCAGAAGAAGTTCTGAGAATGATTTGAGATCAAGATAAAGAGAGAGAGAGAGAAGAAGAGTGTTACTATAAATAAGCAGCAGTAGAAGAAGATTGAGAGAATGTTGAAGCAGGAGATAAAGAAGTCAAAACTGATAAGTTTTTTATTTATTAAGAGATAACAATTTTTGATAATACTTCTGTTCTCTAATTGATTAGCAGGAGCTGACAGAGAAGAAGAGAATTAAGGTCTTGTTCAGGTCTTGAATGCACTTCATGATTCAGAATATTGAGAAGACAGCTCTGCTCTCTGAGCATGCTAATCTGCTTGCTGTTGAAGTGGAACCTGAGACAGCAGACCAGGAAATGTGGGATTTTGAGGTGCAGGTTGACCTGGCTGAGAGAGAGCAGTGAGAACCCTTCTCTGAGAAGATAGCAGAGAGAGATTTTAAGGTGATTATCATCTCAGATAAGGAGGAGAAGAAGAAGAAGAAGAATGAGAAGTGAATTATAAAGAATGATAAGAAGAATGAGAAAGAGAAGAAAGATGATGAGTAGAAAAAGTTTTTTTCTTTTTATATTAGTTAGTTATAAGTTCATAATTATTAATAATTGAAATTAATTTTGAGTTTTTAAAAATTATTGTACAAGTTGTAATCAAGTCAGAAACAATATATATATATATATATATATTTAACTATCATGATTTACAAATCACTATAATGTATAAGTATCAACATTTTTTCAACATTGATATTCACAATATTAATATATTTTTAATGATATCATCTGATAATGCAATTTAGTAACACTCTCTTTCACAATATTAATATATTTCAAGAAATATGACAGAGATTAATCAAGATTATTTATTTACTTTTATACATCAATGATATTCAATCTGAGTTAGTACTAAAATTATAACTAAGTTAAGAAACAAGATTATTTTCTCTTATATTAATTCTTCTTACACATATCAGTGATCAGTTATTGAAAATAAATTATCATCTTTCTTAAATTATTATCATGTCTTCTGAATTCACTTCTTTCACTTCTTTTACTTCTATTGAAGATTCACAAACTCTTCAAGAAATCACTGTGAATTACAAAGTTTATATTGTTTACAATTTAACACAGAATGCTCTCTTTCAATTATGATGAATAATCACTTCATTCTTCACATCTGATTTCAGGTCACAAAATTTATGAAAAACTCAACACAAACATTGAGATGAACTATGGAATAATTATCAACAGATTGTATTGCAGATTACTGAAGAGTCATCTCTCTGCTACAATCACTGCAACTTCATTCAGAAACATTCATCATGAACTGATCATGACTCTGAAGAAATTTTCTGACATCTGAAGTCATCAGAATGCAGACAATAAAAGAAAAATAATCAGAAAATTACTACTGAGCTGGTAAGTTGCTCTACCAGGTAATGATTTTTGATAACACTAACTTTCTAATTTGAAGGAAATCATGTGAAAACAACCCTGTATCAGTACTCTGATTTCACAACTCTCATCTGATAACTTCTGTGAATAATTACTTTGCATGTGTATATCTCTGAATCTTTCTCTTTGATCAATTGAAAACCCTGAATTCTGAACACTTCTTCAAATGCTTAATTTAAATCTTCATATTTCACATCAATTCTGTCTTCAGTTCAATCTTGAGACACACTACAAAGTCAATATGCAATATCTAGAATCAGAGTTGAAGAATCATCAAAGAGTGTCTCTCACAGTGAATGCATGAACTAGTACAAACAATCTTGCATTTATGAGAGTTACATGTTATTACATTGATGAGAACTGAACTTATTGAGAGATATTAATTGAATTTGAATCATTGATCAGTAGTTATACTGGGGATTATATGGCAGAGATATTAATGACTGTGATTAAAAATGACTATTGAGATATTAGTCTCAGTCTTCTTACAATTACAACTGACAATACTGTGAATAACTACACTATAGTGAAGAGTTTGAAGCAAAAATTGACTTTGCATTTGTGAAATGATAAATAAGGTCATATCTTCTGCATTACTCATGTGGTTAAACTTGTGATGCAAACACTGATAAAGAATCTTAATATCAAGATGAAGAATAATGAGATGGCTGGTTCTTGAGATGAGAATGAGATGAAAGTGATTACTCAAGTAACTTTTGCATTCACTTTACAAAAGATAATGTTTTTTGATAATACTTTTTGATATTGCTTTTTGATAATACTTTTTGATAACACTACTGTTAATTTTGAATAGATTGACTAATAATTTAAATATTATAGATTTAAAACATTGCTAATGCAATTTGTACCTCTTCTAAACAATAACAATAATTTCATGATATTCAATAAATAAACAAATCAGTCACATCACTGAATATGATACAGAATGTTAGAATATGATGAAGTTCAACATATGAGATAACTGTTCAGACTCTTTGATTGTGTCAGATGATTGATCATTGAGTGCAACACTCTGATTGAGAAAAGATTCAGATATTGAAACTTTCTGATATGAAGTGAACTCAGTTGAAATATGTGATTGATTTACTGTTTCAGTTTTATAAGACAATAAAGACAGTCTCAATCACTTGTACACCAATGCTGCAGTCAGTCTGGTGAGTGTATAACAGTTTATTTACTCATCTTGAGAAGCAGTTGAATCACTTAAAAAGAAATTCAGTCTGGGATGATGCTATAGTGCAGGCTATTGTTACTGCAAGGAATAAACTAGCATATTACTACAGCAAAATAAAACAATCTTTTGCAGAGTACTATGCTGTAGCAGCTCTACTAGATCTCTTCTGTTGAGTTAACATCTACACTTCTCAAGATTGAACAGAGAAGGAATGAGACTCATATATCAAATTAGCCTGAGACTACTACAATGTCAACTATCAGAGATTTGAATGAGCAGATGTTTGAGATGTGAAGACAGTGGAATACAATTCTCTAGTAAGTAACAATCTTTGATAACACTTCATATCACATAGAACTATAATACTAACTTTGAAACAGAACTTACATACATTGATTACAACTGAAAATCAGGCAAAACTACATGCTTGTAAAACTGAATTTGACTGCTATCTTTAAGATGATCTGACAAATTTACACACCAAATCAATTCTAGAGTTATGAAAAATTGTTGAGAGTACATATTCAACTGTTGCACTGATGATGCATGATATTCTGACAATTTCATTGACAGGGGTGGGAATGAAGTGAAAGTTCAACTCAAGTCAAGATATTTATCACTATCACTGGGAACAATTACAAGGAGAAACAATCAAGAAACTCATGATTGTAAAACATAGAATTATCAGACAGTTTAATACCTCTGATCACAGTATATCAGAAAAGTGTAGTTTTCATGAGAAAGTGAAGAATAAACTTGCACAAGAATGTATTTAGTTGTTTCATGAGTATTATCAATAATTGTTACCAAATTCTGATTATATAAGCAATCACTGAATGAACTGAATGAGACTGATTTTGATCTTCAGTCTCAGTCCCATTCTGATTTTGAAAGAATGATCATCTTTCACAGTTTATTCTGAAAAATTACTCTCATTTCACTGTTCTTGAATTAAATCTGGTCATTTTTCACACCATTTCTCTCAGAAATGGTCCATTTTCAGATTTTTTTGAGACTTGGTCCTGGTGGGACTCACGCCAAGAAATGTATGAGACCAGATCAAATAGGATCAAATGTGAAATTCATGATCTCAGCGGCCAGTCTAAATACTGATCAGCTTTCTGCTATTATCTTATAATAAGATATCTTCTCAGTACTGTATTTTATCTGCAGACAGATGATCAGACTGAATATCAGAATCAGACACTAGAACAGCATCTTCAAGTGTTCTATTTATATTATTAAAATGATTGACTCAAACATCTTCTGATTACTGAATTTATATATAATAATGTAAAGAATGTAATCTTAAAGATATCTTCTTTCTATACTTATTATGAATACAATTCTTTATTATTCAGTGATATTATAAATAACATTTCAAAGAGAGAGATAAGTAGACTGACCGTGTGACCGTGTCTGGGATCAGGACCAGATTTTTTGATAGTCTCATTACCAATTCGACTGATCCCATTACATGCTTTTAACATTAGATAGTAGTCTCATACTGTCTCAGTGGGACTTACTGTCTACTCTTGTCACATTTTCCAAATGGGACCATGATTTCCACTTCTCATTTTAAATTATTTTTATTGCTTTAAATGACTTTAAATCTCATTTGAGCATTACCAAAAAGCGTTACTTTTTAAAAAATTAAAAATAGTCTAAAAAAAACCTTAAAATGTCTAAAAATAGTAACTTTATGCCAAGAATGGGACTAAATGAGACCAAATGAGATCACTTTCTCATTTTTTTCAAGTCATGGTTTCATTTTAAGATCTGATATATAGTCACTTTACCTGTTTTTTTGATAGCCAGTCCCAGCGGGATTCACGCCAAGAAATGTATGAGATCAGATCAAATGGAACCAAATGTGAAATTCATGGTCCCAGCAGCCAGTCTAGAGATAAGCAGTCAGAATGTTAAACAGATACAGAGAACAGAATATTTCTTAGTATTAGAAGTAAAAGTAAGATTGAAACTTTTAAACAAAATTTATAAGAAGACAGTGAAATGTATTCATTATATTCAGAAACAGCAGATGAAATACTATAATTAAAAACATCTTTCAATGAAGTTCTTAATAGAAGATTAAGTACTACTTTCAGCAAAGAATATTAAGATAATAAGACTGTGTAAGAAGCTCAGTGAGTGATAACTAGAACTCTTCTCAGTAATAAGAGTGATAAGTAAGTAGATATATAAGTTGAAATTACTTATAGAATTGAAATTAATTTATTCTGTTTTTCATATTTTCTATTTAAAGCTCTATAAGTAACACTCTGAGATGAAGTCATCTCAGCTAAATAGTATTGAGATTGAGAGTGATACTGAATATCTTATGAAGAAAATATTGAATAAGTAAATATATTACAGCAAGCTTCAATATCTTATAAAATAAGAAGATTATTTATTATCAGAGAATTCATGAAAACTGCTTGAGTATTTAAAGAATGCTGAGAAAGAGATTGTAAGTTATAAGATAGCTAGTAGAGACTGCTCTGTTACATATCAGAGATATTAAGTAAGAAATACTACTTAAGACTTCTTATTTTTTCTTAAAGAGTTTTTAGAGATAATCTCATAGTAATGAGCTAATGTCTTGAGAGCTCTGTAGCACTCTTCTTCTATTTTCTCTCAAAGAGTTTTTTAGAAGTTTAATGAGACTATATAAGTATAAAATTCCTGAAGTGATTAAAGAAAAGAAATATTTGAAATCAATAAAAAGATTAATATTATTAACTTACAAGCTGCTGCT